CTCACTCCCCTGAGCGGTCCAAGGGCTCGGGGTCCCTGAGCCTGCCTGCATCTTCAGCCACAAGTCTGGACCCACGGATCTCACTCCAGCCCCTAACGTACCCGGGGGCTCTTCCTACACACATTCTCTAGTGCCTCCGAACCTGGACCCACGCTCTTCTCTCTGCCACGATCTGCTCTGGGCCTGGACAGTCCCTCCGGTAGCAACGACTACTGTTGGGAAAGCAGTAGGTACAGCGGGCAGGACAACTCTTGGCTCTGAAGCCCAAAGCTGTGTGATTATGGGCACAGCGTGTAACCTCTCTTATCTCAGGAGTCTCATCTGGCAAATGGTGTGATAGGACTTAACTCAGGGGGTTCTGAAAGCATTAAATGAGTGCTAAATACACGTGAAGTGCTTGTCTTAGTGCCGGGCACACAGGGAGTGGCTGGGAGGGTGAGCCAACATCAGTGGTGGTGGTGTCTGTGGGTCCATCCTGTACATCTCGGCATCTCATTTATTATAAGAATTATATGCATTACAACATGTAGAGGGCTTACATGAGACCTGGCATGTGGTGAACTCCCTGTTGTTATTACTGTTGCTACCCCTGGATGCTCTTGCACCCTGGATGAACGTCCTGGGGCTAGCTATCGACCAACAAGTCATCAGGGGCTGTCTAGTCCCCTTGTCTGCACTTGGGGCCCCTGAGCCATCACTGTGGCTGCCCTCCCCACTCGGCGCCCCAGCACTGGCCCCAGCCCCCAGCAGCCTCACCCACAACCCCACGGCTTTGGGAAAGCTACTTCACTAAAATGTGGAGCGGCCTGCTTTAAAGAAATTCACTCTGCAAAAACCAAACATTGAAACAACTATAGTGTGCTAGAAACAGAAACTATCATTAGATCGCTTTTTTAAATGTATCAATGAATAAGCCAATCAATCCACTGATCACTTTGGCTTCATGGGTCACTAACAACACCTCACCTCACCCCATTAAAACAAAATCCATCCCACTTAAACGAATGAAGAAGGAATGACACAATTAGCACATGGCATTGTGCGGCCCCGAATGAACAGATGGTCTAGACACACGATCAGTGGCAAATTGACATCCCAAAGCAGGTGCATGCCTCCCGACAGAAGAACACTGGATCACATGTGAATTTTTGCCAAAAAAAGAAGTAAAACCCAAATCTATACCTGGCCGGCTAGATCTACTTAACTGACAGGGAATACAAAGAACAGAAGGCAACGTTGAGCTCCACCAAATGGGCGCAGTCAGCAAAAATCCCAACCATGGGAAACGTACAGGACCTGCAACCCAGTTCCCTCCAATAAATAACAAGAGAAAAATTAAGATGAGGAGGGACTCTTAGAGACTGAGAGAGACTTAAACGACTCATCCAACACCTGCAGTATGCAAGCCTTATCTGGATCCTGGATAAAACAAACTGGACAGAAAGGTATTGGTAGTGTTTGCGGGACAACTAGAAATTTGAACACTGGATGTTTAATGATATTAAAGAATTGTCAAATTTAAAGAAGAAAGAGTTCTTATCTTTTAAACTGAAAAATATATTGAAATAATTATGGCTGAAGTGACAGGCCATCTGGTATATGCTTCAAAATGAGACAGGAGAGAAGTGGATGGGGCCATGGATGGGGCCATGTTGGGGCTGCTGGGTGTTGGGTGCACACGGTTCATTGTACTATATGCTAATCTACTTTTATGTGTGTTCCAAGCTCTCCATGATACAAAGTTCATAAGGTTCATAAGTTTTTTACGAACTCATAAAAAGTCAGCCTGCCCAAACACACATGTGGTGTGTGCCTCCTGCACCCCCAGGGTCAGCATATTGGGATGTGTCAGCCCCGGTTCTGGCCTGCTCTCCGAGTCTCCCACTTAGGGAAGGGGCAGCTGTAGTCTCCCGGGTCAAGAAGTGAGTTTCCTGAGGCCCAGGACCCGGCAATAGTGCAGACTGGAAAATAGTTGGATAGGTGAATTCTCTGATACCCAAGAAAATCTAATCTTAGAAGGAAGGTAAGCAATTTTATGTTTTGAAAGGTTTGATTTAAAATATAAGCAAACATTTTTGAAAATATGGCTTGGTTTACAAAAGTGGGCAACCCCCTGTAGGGTTACATCTGATGCACAAGCAGGTGAGAGTGGCTGGCCTCTGAGAAGTTCAGATGCTGTTAACACCTGGGAGCTGCAGGGGAGAAATCTGAACCTTGAGGGACCACAAACAACTAAAGGCACTGCCTGCCTTCTCAAGCTTGTTTCTGGAGCTTCACCTGCTCCCCCTCTCCCTCCCCACTCCATCAGTGACCCCAACAGCAGATCCCAGGCTCTCCATTTCCAGGGAAGTTTCTGTGGCTGGGAAAGCCAGAGACGCCTGTGTGGAATTTCCTCTGTAGATGAGTACCTGCCCATTGGCCTTGCCAGATCTAGATGGCAGGGCAGCCTCCGGAGTCTGAATGTCCCATGGGGAGAAATCCGGGCTTGTCAGGGGGCCCAGAGTACCACCCACCCATGCAACTGGATACATACACTTTGTAAGCACTGTTTCCAACAGATAAATGTAATCAAGGTTTATATGTTCAGAGAACCCAACAGGATGGGATTGTTTCACTTGAAAGATCAGAAGAAAATTGTAACTAATGTTGTGGAAAATTACTTTGATATTGCTTTCTTGGTACCGAATCACAATTAGGCTGCTGTGAGAAGTACAGGGAAAGAATAAATGAATAGTAACAAATCAACACAAACAGCCTGTGTCAGGAACACTTTGCTTAGGGAAAGTAACGTAAGCATTACTTAAAGTTTTATGACTGTGTTTGATGTGATTCACGTAGAATGGCCAGGTTGCCCACCACCTGGCACGGGACGAGGGTGGTCCAGCTCCATTTACAGCCAGAAGAAGGCAGCTCAAGACCTAAGCATCCTCCTTGCCTGCGTCTGCCAGGTCCACAACATTCCCAGCTGCAAGGGACGCTCACCTACATGCCCTGCCAGCCTGAGGCTCCATGCTCCTTCCCCATTCACCACTCCACCCCAGAAATCCTAGCTGTCCATAGGCCCCCGTCCCAGCGATAATCAAGGAGGACTACATGCACGTGCACTGGGGCAGCTGTGCAGGGCAATGCTGGCTGGGGGGAGGGACAGGAATCCACACCTGCAGAAGACATGAGGGGCAAACGCTCTGCTTTGCCAGCTGCTACGGCGCTGCAGGGCACGTGTCGTGGCCACCAGACTCCAGCTCCACCCAGGAATATAACACCTGTCCCTGGAGGATACCCCAGATAAGCACATGGCCGGTCCTGCGTGGACACCACAGACACACTCATGCCTTCTCCCCCAGGCCCATCCCACAGAATGCAGACACCAGACATGAGGACCCTCTGCACACGTGTGCCCCGACCATGCACATGCCAGGACGTGCACCAAGGATACACAGAGCCATGAACCCCAAGCCGTGTCTGAGGGCCTTTTGGGGGAGCTCACTTCTGCACACATAACACCCAACTGCGGAGACCAACTCTTAGTCCCTCCTGACGGTGCTACGTGTGGGGCCTGGTTCTGTTGACACAGGGTCGCCAGACACCCTGGGGCTCCCATGAGGCTGCAAAGTCTCCACGGAGCAGCCAGCTGGGTCATGGGGCCTTGCTTCTTCAGAAGCCAGGGTGCAGCCAGATCCATTTTGACCACCCCCACCCCATCACCCCCGCCAGTCAGGGTCCAGCCCAGGCGTGAGTCAGCACCTGTGACTCACCTGCCATCTCCTGGGGGCCCAGCGCCTGGGCTGCCTCTTGCTGACTCTCTGTGATGAAAGAACCAACTCACCAGCCTGTCCCACCAGGGCCTCTGATCACAGCTGCCAGGCCCAGGGTCCCAGCTCTGGATCCCTTGTGCTCCTTCTGCCTTTCTACGTGGTGCTTACAGACCCTCAGTCTGAGCTCAGGGGGGTTGCTGGCTGCCCTGAGAGTATGAACCACAGCTGAGGGTGGGGCTGGGGAGGAAGCGGCAGGCCTGAGGGCCTGAGTGCCCTCCCCAAGGACCAGGTGCTTCTGCGTCATGCCCCACACCCCTGGGCTATGGGCTGCACGCAGGGATGGTACAAAAGTCCCTCTGCCTAACCCCCCAGTCTCCATGTCTCTTTCCTACTGTCCGTGTCCTGGAGCACAGGGCTGCCTTCACAAGGCCTCCAGGACCACTGCTGGGAATCGCTGGTCCCCGCGCCTGGCAACCGATGTTTTCCTCTCACCCCAAAGCAGAGTGACCTCTGGCTTTGGCCCGGCACCTGCTGCCCTCCAGCCCTTCCATGCTCTCTGAGGTGGGGGCTGTGTCCCAGCCAGAGGGGCCTTGCCCAAGGTCTCCTCTCCACACCCCTTCTGCCCCAAGGCTCCAGAACCATCCTTCCTGCTCTCACCTCTCTGCCGTCTCACCTCTGCGAGTCAGGGAGGGTGCTTCCCTCCAGTGGGTGGGGGGCAATGGCTGGGGGGACAGCAGGAGCCGCCTCAGTTTCACAAGCCAAGAGGTACTGTGACCCCCACCCTGGTCCAGGATGAAGGGACCAAATTCAAGGGGTCCTCAGGGTTGGGCAGAGAAACTGAGTCCCACTTGGGAGGCCTGGGTTCAGGGAGAAGTCATTCGTCCTCTGATGTCCCGGACTACGTGGAAGAGGCCCCAAGAGGTGGCAGAATCCTCCTTAAATCTGAGTTTCACCAACCACAACAACTGGCTGGGAGATGGACAGTATGGCTATCATTCCCAAGAGGAGTGCACTGGCCAGAGGCCAGAGGGCAGAGACCAGAGGCCAGAACCCTGAGACTGGTGGTCTGACAACAGACACAGTGTCCCCATATTAAGGCTGACGACCACCAGCAGGAAGCCAGGATCCCTCCTCTGCCTGCTGGGGGGTCTCAGCACAGCCTTGGCACCAGGGCAGCATGGAGGCCTGCACGTTGGGCGGGAAAGCTGCGGCAAGTGGGCGGCGGGGCCGAGTGCAAGGGCTCACCTGGCACCTGCTGGGGGGCGAGCTCCGTGGGGTCCTGCAGGCTGATGAAGAGGAGGAGGCCTGCAGCTCCGAACAGCAGGATGGATGAGAACATGCAGGCCAGCCGCATCGCTCCTGTTCTCAGGGTCATCCGGGGCTTGCTCCGGGGTCACCTCTCGGGTGTGGGAGGTGCGCTCTTCCTTCATCATCCACACCAGGTGTCCATCAGGCCACTGGCTACTGGGCAGTAGGGGAGAAAGACGGTCCATCACTGAGGCATAGGGCTCCAGTCACTGCACGTGACTGAGTGTCATCCCTGTAACCAACCCCCTTCTTACTCAGGTGTGTCCCTTTCATCTTTTCAAGCCCAAGCAGGTGAAAGGGAAGGCTGGCCACCACCTGCAGCTGGGACATTGGCTTCCTGCCAGGGTTCCTGAATCTGCACCCCCAGGAAAACCATGGAGGGAGACTCTCCAACTCCTGCCCAGGGGAGCCCAGAGTGGACCCATGACCCCCACAGCCAGGGATAGCAGTCACCCCCCTGCACTGTCCAGGCAGGAATCTGGGTCCTTGTCCCTCACAACTGGCCTGGTGGACAGAAAAGCTCTTAGATCTCTCTGCCCTGGTTCCTCTCTACCAAATGCTGGGGACAAGGGTCTCCACAGAACAGGAAAGGCTCCCAGGCCCAGAGGATGTCAAGGACTGACTCCCCACCCACATCAGCCAGGGCTCTCCCTCCCTGACAGATCGAGGGATGGGCTAGTGGGATCGAGGTCCCATGGATAGTCCCACCAGTAGGAGCTGCAGCTCCGGCCGGATCACGGTTGTCCTCGCTCTCAAGGCCCCTGGGCCTGGAGCTGAGACGGGGTGGCCAGACTTGGGTCAGACAGACTTCAGGCTCAGAGGCCGTGTCCCCGAGGACAGATACCTGCTGCTCTGGCCACTGCAGACCCACAGCATGCCCGCATGACTTGCCCCCACCCTGGTTCCTCCTGAGGGGGAAGAAATTCCAAATACCCCAAAGACCAGCCAGTGACCTCAGCTGGGCCAAGCTGTGGGTCAGGACGGAGCACCCCAAGGCCATGTGCCCAAAGGAAGGATGTAAGTTCCTGCAGTGGGGTGGGGTATGGGGACAGTCAGGCAGGTGTGGAAGACGAATCCATCCAGCAAGCTGGGCTAGATGGGCAGGAATTCCAGGACCTCTCATGGAGGGGGGTCACTCTGTCCCCTTACCCTCACCCGGTCCTACCCTCCAGGCCCAGGGATGTTGCCCCCTTTCCACCCAAAAGAGCCTTTGGGATCTTCCCCCTCCCTGGCACGGGGCAGTGCCCAAGGGAGGCTGAGGCCTGGTGGGCAGCTACCAGCAGCCTCGGAGACCATAGCTGGGTGGTTGGGCAGGCCCCAGACCAGACGTGCTGCTCAGCACAAGGTTGCCTCCCTGCCTGGGAGTACTCCTTGGCGAAGTACTTTGGTCAGGGAACCCATCCCCGACCTGGCACCTTGGCGCTGGGGGCGGAAGCCCCCGGTTTTGTCTCACTGCATCCAGCCTCACGGGGCATGAGGCAGGAAGTGGTAATAAGAGAGGCCCCTCCCTCCCCTGCACAGACAAAGATTCGCAAGGTCTAGCCTGCTCTCCGCAAAGCTCTGAGGCTGAGGAGTGTTAAATTGCAGGTTTGGGTTTCTTCCCTCTGCCGTCTCTGTAATTATTTTTTTCACTCAGTTAACTTTAATTAACCTGCCCCAGGCCTCCA